CGCAAATGACTGGAGGTAACGAAAACTGAAAGCACGCGAAGTGTAGTTGTTCCGATAAGCCACATGTGGCATTCACGTTGCACCAAGTCTTTGATAACCATCGTCTGAGAGAGATAATATTGGCGCCTATTGAGAGTTTAAATAATACGTGATAGCACGGCACTCGCTCCACCCTATTCCCAGTTGTCGACTGTTGTCAGAGGCGTACTGGCTCTGAATACTTGATAACAATTGGCACATTTGCTCGAAGCAAGAACTGTGGTCGCAGAGAAACAGCCGTTGTTAGCGAACGGCTCTGAAATAACATTTGTTTCTAAACATCTGCCTGGCAACAAACAACGGAACTACGTCTGTTGCCAGGCAGCAGATTATTAATACGGCCACTGCTAGGGGACGGCTTGATAGACAGTTTCCAACTTCAACGGATAGGCGTGCAACTGAGGAACGGTGTTTTCTACGTGGCTTGTGCCAAGATGTTATAAGGACAAAGTTAGAGCTTGGTTAGTCTGCAACGAGAAGACTTAGTGAAGACTTAGTTGGAGTTGCAAGAGTGTTGAGTTGGAATGGAGCCGCCGTTACGAGAGGACTTGAGCCCGGAAGCAGAGGAATAGCCATAGTTAGAAGCCGTTACCACACGACTATTAATAATGACACTGCGGGCTGGAAAAGACTTGTAAAGTGAAGAAATTAGCGATGGCGCTGTAATTATATGTAATTACGAGTTGTGTGCTGAAGTGGGCAATAAATCCAATATTTAATGCAAAGCCCCGTCGAGAGTGACAGTATGTACTTGAAGTATGTGGTTTATAAATAAAATTCTCTAGCTTCAATTAATGCCTTGAAGCCACAGCCGTGTAAGATATTACAGATCTAGCAGCAAACTGACGGTGAGGATGTTTATACATAAAAGACATGAAGTAACACGAGGCTGGAGAAAATTCTCGTAAATGAAGGCCATAATTGACTTTAATTTTAGGTGTTGACAGCAGTGGCTATGAATAGTTCAGTCTTCTAAGATATAATTCTGCACAATCAGAGTAAACCATCGTTTCGGAGAAACATGCCACCTCCATCTTCAGGGTCGAAGAGTAAGCTCAAATTAGAAACGAGCATGTAACAGGTAGCAAGCAGAGATTTCATTGGACTAAACTGCGTTATGAAATTGAACTAAACGTCATTTGTTAGGGCGATCAAATCAAGTAAGGCTGGACATGTAGCAAGCATAACATTTTTCTGTCACACATTTATTGTCATTTGCAATAAATATGTGTGTTCATTTAATACAGAACCGTGAATGAGCTATGCCGCAAGAGATACACACAGTAGCGTTGTGCCAGTCTTCACTTTTGGGAGCCAGGCGTGGATGGGAGGATAATATTAAATGGATCTTAAAGAAACCAGTTTTGAGATATGGAATACCGAGTTTTTTTATTTAGCATTAGCGATCTAGACTAAGGGAAAACATGAGTGTATTCATTCATTCATTCAAGGTAAAGATTATTAACGCTGTCCAGTGTGATGGATAAATATTGTGTTTTTTAATCTTTTATCCTTTACATGTTTCGGTCGGAGCGACCATCTTTAGAAGAACATTATCAGTACATAAATAAACTACTATTACAGTGTTATAAATATAAAATATTATACTCTAACAATTACTGCGATGTGCATGAATTTGTTAAAAACATTTATAAATTATTATAATTAGTCTATATTTACAAAGCATTGTTTAAAACATTTTTGTTAAAATCTAGAACCAGTTTGGTTCGTGTCCTTTATATTTCTCTTTAATAGTAGTTTTCGTATGTATTGATAATGACCTTATGGATATGGACGCTTCTACCGAATCATGTGAAGGATGAAATATTAAAAAAAAAAAAAGACAACATTTATCAGTCACACTGGACGGTGGTAATAATCTTTTATACTATTACCAGTGTGACGGACCACGATGAACCAAATCAAATCTAGATTAGTATTTGCGAGGTGTTCGGTTCGTATCTCTGCCGAGACACCGGAAATCCTGGCTGAGGGTTTTCATGGTTTTTCACACTTCCTTCAAGCTAGTTCCCAGACTTGGCCTTGCTGTACAAAATCCTTTTGTTCGTCATCTTTTGACTGTTCGATGCTATGTAGCGGTGCGGTGCGGGGGGCAGAATCCAGTAGCCGGCTTTCACGAACACGGATTTATTCCAGGGGGGAGGGTGGTGTTGGTGGTGGAGGTGCATTTAGTGACTGTCTGAGCGACTGTTGGTTTCGCAAGAAGTGACACTGCTCCCTGGAGTTAGTTGTGTGTGTCGCCCAGAAAGCAGCGCTGTGGCTTTACAGGTGAAAAAGCCAGTTCTCCCCTGTCGATATGCAGAATCCTGATAAAACCGAGAGGTCGAGGCAAACATTTACCACATCGCACTGATACCAGTGTCTGCTTTGATGTGGAGAGTGGAGGAAGGACCTGTGTGGGGTGGTACTGGCGGATTGACTTGTCTGCGTCGCCCACTGTCTGCTGCAGTAGACAGGATGGACAGCGGTTTTGCGATTCCCAGAACCGCCTTTCCTGCAGGAGCGACAAGGTGAATATTACATAAAGCCACGACACAGTTTCATTTGTCACTAGAGACGAGTAATGAAATCTGCATTACGCGGTTAATGTTTGTTATGACAGGGCATGGAGATTAATTTTTGCCGTGTTTACTGACTATGTTCGTAGCTGAGATAATATTACGTCGAATGGTTCGATGGTTACTGAATAATTAATTGGAGATGATATGGAGGGAAGCAATAGCGGCGCAGTTTGAGGTACTCTTTTCGCGAGTTTTGCTTGGAGGGACTGAAGAAAGTCATGGAATACCTCAGTCAGGATAGTCATTCTCCGGGCCGAGGTTTGAATCCATGACCGCTCGAAGTTACTATGCAAAAATGCAATAATTTGCAGCTTACGTGTGTTAGGTTTCTTACATGTTTCTTTGCACACAGTATACGTATTATGGGAGATTATAAGCCCACCTGCATATTTCAACTCCCATGGCACTGAACGCATTTCGGTTAAATTTGGCATTAGTGAAGGTGACGTCCCTGTGCTTAACTAATTCAGTACTGCGCCATGAAGGCATATAGGGGAGTGTATAGATCAACATTTACCGTTCTCACGGTCTTGTCGCTTGCAGATTTCTTATACTTTTTCTTCTACCCTAAAGATGGAGGCGATACGTTCCTCCGAAACGTCGGTTAACACCACTTATACACGGTGCCAAATCCCAGAAGACTGCTTTCAACATTTTCTTGACCTCTGTATTAGCTGGAGGTGAATGGTCAGCTTTACGCCCCTGCCGCTTTTCCCCCGGGGAAAGAACACCCGGCACCCAATGGATATGACGTTTGGTGGACCCCAAAGCCGGCCTGGACGACGTGGAGAAGAGAAAATTCTTGACGCTACCGGGACTCGAACACCGACCCCTCAGTCTTCCAGCCCGTAGCCAGTCGCTATACCGACTACACTATCCCGGCTCATAATTTGGCTTTGGTGCCTACATTAAATTTCCCGGTTGAATGTAACGTTGGTTCATATTGGTTTGGTATAAGGGGAAGTTTACGTTGAGTCTTTTAATTATTCAAAAATTGGTAGTCTTGAAATTGATCGATACGTAATATAATATAGGGGTCAGTAGAATATACAACTTTTGATAGAGGTAATACTGGATACTCCACATGACCGTTAGATAGTACACTGACGCCAACGCTCAGATGGGTTTGCCAGCCTCTGAAAAGGGCCCGGTTTATTTGGATGGGTTTATGCAAGAAGGAGACAATCGGAAACACACTTTTTCAGCTACAACCACTTTTTAGAAAAACATTAAATTATACTGCATCCTTATCATAGCGTTAGCAACTGGGTTCTACAGTATGTAACATATTTTTTAGAGTCATAGCAGCTGACTATTATGATCGATAAAACACGTTCAAAAGTTAAAAATGTGATGGTTGGTTCCCTCTTACATAACTGCGTCCGTTTGATGTCACTGCATTCATTGAAAGTTCGCCCTTGAAGTTTACCTGTTGTTCTAGACCTCTGGGACACCCGGTATAACGGAATATAATGGGACTTTTTCGGGTTTGAAAGTTAAGTCTGTAGTACCGGTAGCTTCGTAAGAAAGAACTCGTGTATCCGGAGTAAATGCATATTAAGGTCACTGGGTTATACAAAACCGGAAACAACACACTTCAAAAGTATGTCCATGCCTGCTGTTCTTTTTAAATGAAATAGCAATTACAGAGTATACAAACTTTCAATGTTCCTCGCTTTCGCTGCTACCATCTTGAATGGCGATTGTGTTAACACAAATTGATAATAAATTTTAAAATAGATAAAAATAATTGGTATTGAAGAACCTTTCTAGTGTATTACGAAGTCCTTTGCAAACTTCGTTGTCTCTCGATACTTAGGCGAGCTTAAAAGGGACCCTGGAGAAGGACGTGACAGAGTCTATGTTTGAAGATTGTATTATCTTATTAATTAATATGACGGTGTATACACTTGTGATTGCACAATAAAGGGATTAAGGTGGGATTGGGTAGTGTATGTTACTAGGGGTTTTGTATTCGAAATTGGGTGAAAAAGTAAGAATAAAGAATCAAGCCACGATAGTCTATTTGTGGTGTTAAGACTTGAGAAACAAAGCCACGAAATCATAAATTCAGGAGATAATGGAGATTATCCTTTAGAAACAATGTCGGTAACAAAAGTTATTCGGTGTATAAATATAAATTTAAGTCGAAATTGTCACATTCGCTTATGACCCTTAACATATATAGACTTTTTATGGTGAGAATATTTATTCTTTTTCAGTTGCAAGTCAGGCAGCGTGAAACAAGCTATCACTTGGCTGGAAGTATGTGCTGTTTCTGATGCGATGTGAGCTGAAATTGTTAGCTGATCAAACAAGGAACATGCAGTGAGCCCTTCTGAGCCACACTCGCTAATGTTTTTCTTCCTTCTTTTGCAGAATCTGTCGCTTACGTGGATATCCGTGCCGTGTTCCTCACCAACATGAGCTGAAACAAACAACTGAGACACGCCTCCACACTGCCGAGTGTCCACGTGGCAGGATGGAGTTGCGGTGGCCCCATCCTAGCTTCTGGTTGTTGGCAACCCTGACACTGCTTCTAGGAGTGTCACAAGCCGGAGAAAACACAACAGATTCTCCATCAACTTCCATAAACACAACCATCAGCGTAATCAGCAGTGCCAGTGATTCTTTCAGCATCGCCATCCCTGTCAGTTTCTCGTCCACCGCATCGGTAACACCCCCCAGCACGTCAAAACCGTACCCCCGTAACGACGCTCCAGCAACCACTGCCCTTCCTTCTCCAGAGTTCAAATTCACGCGGTCAGTGTACAACGTTAGTATTGCGGAGAACTCCGTGGGGAAAACGTACGTCACTCCGGAAGACAGAATGGGGATCGTGACAGTGGACACTGATCCAGATTTTGATATACGCTACAAGATCATTGGTGGTGACAGAGACAAGTTTTTTAAGGCGGAGGAACGATTAGTTGGTGATTTCTGCTTCTTGCTTCTGCGCACTCGGACGGGCAATGTGGATGTTCTAAACCGTGAAAGAAAAGATAAATACGTGCTAGAAGTGCGGGCGACTGGGACAAAGCGAGAAGGGAAGAACAAGATGAGTGTAATGGAAGCGGACACAACAGTTGTGGTCAAAGTTCTGGACACCAATGATCTCAATCCCCTGTTCTATCCCACTGAGTATGAGGCGACAGTCCCAGAAGACACTCCGTTACACAGAAGTATACTGCGGGTGTCGGCCGAGGACGCTGATCTGGGGAGGAATGGTGAGATTTATTATAGTTTCCTCGATAGCCCGGAGCAGTTCGCCGTGCACCCAATGACAGGGGTTGTTTCGCTTACTAGACCATTGCGATACGCTGAAAGGTCTCTGCATGAACTGACAGTTATCGGACAGGATCGGGGAGCTTTGTTCAGATCGGGAGCAGTTGGCAAAGCGAGCACAGCAAGGATCACGATAAGGGTCCAGCAAGTGAACTTGAATTCTCCCGAGATATACGTTCACCATTTACCCGACATTGTGGAACACTCCAATGCCGATATATATGCAATAGTTCGTGTAATTGATAGGGACAAAGGCGTTCATGGAGAGATACAGAGCTTAGAGATCGTTGACGGTGATCCAGATGGCCATTTCAGAATTCGTTCAGCTGAAGAAACTGGTGGAAAGAGCGGCGAATATAATATAGAAGTCTTACATCTGCTTGACCGAGAAAGTGCTCCACAAGGCTATAACTTAACTCTCAGGGCTACCGACAAAGGGGTTCCATTTCGACAAACGTATAAGTCTGTACCTGTTCATCTTGCAGATCTTAACGATAATGCACCTGTGTTCGACCGGGAAATATACGAAGTTGAAGTACCGGAAACAGCTCCTGTCAACACTCCGGTCATCCGCCTGAAAGTGACAGATGCGGACGAAGGGAAGAACGCTCAAGTATTCCTCGAAATTGTAGGTGGGAATGAGGGCGGTGAGTTCCACATAAACCCAGATACCGGCATGTTGTATACATCTGAGATTTTGGACGCGGAGCATAAGGCATTTTACACGCTAACCGTGTCAGCAATAGATCAAGGGAACGCTGGAACAAGGAAACAATCGTCTGCCAAGGTGAAAATAAACGTGATGGATACTAACGACAACGACCCGTTGTTTGATCCTCCAGAGGATGTCGTGTGGGTGGATGAGAATGAGCCTGCCGGTACATCTGTCGCCAAGGTGACGGCTAGGGACAAAGACTCGGGTGAGAATGCCTATATATCGTACAGTATTGTGAACCTAAATCCCGTGCCTTTCGAGATTGACCACTTTTCTGGTATTATACGAACAACTACTGTTCTGGATTACGAGTCCTTGAGACGTGAGTACATCCTGAGGATACGTGCCTCTGACTGGGGACTTCCCTATCGCCGCCAGACGGAAATACAGCTCAGAATCAGAGTACGAGACGTGAACGATAATCGACCACAGTTCGAGAAAGTGGACTGTACTGGGAGCGTGCAGCGATATGTTTCAATAGGCACAGAAGTAATCACACTGTCCGCAATTGATTTCGACGCTGGTAGCATCATCAGCTACCGACTGATTTCTGGCAACGAGGACGGCTGCTTTGCTCTCGACGCGACGTCTGGTGTGCTGAGTGTGACGTGTGATTTGGCGGACGTGAAAGTGTCAGATCGTGACGTGAATGTGACAGCCACGGATGGAACTCATTTCTCGGACGTTGTTCGTGTTAAGATCAGGCTGGTGAATGGGAAGAAGAACTTAGGATCACCAGAACGGGTATTGGCTGATGGAATAGGAAGTTTCCATTGTAGAGACACGGGAGTCGCACGCAGGTTGACGGAGGTTCTAGCCGCCGCAGAGAAGAACAACAACATGCTTGGACGCTCTGCACAGCCAGAAGAGTTCGCCATGATGCCGAGCCGATATGGCGAAAACGTGCATACTCCAGAGTTTATTGACTTCCCAGTAGAAATACGGGTGAATGAATCTGTTCCACTGGGTACGTCTCTTGCAAAGATACGGGCACGAGACCGGGATCTTGGATACAACGGGAAGTTAGTGTATGGGATTGCTGACGGCGACCATGACTCAGCATTTCGTGTAGATCCTGATACAGGCGAATTGAAAATCATAGGTTTCCTTGATAGAGAACGCGAGAGTGAATACCTGCTTAACATCAGCGTGTATGATTTAGGCCAGCCTCAGAAATCATCCTCCAGGTTCCTTCCCATCACTGTTCAAGATGTGAATGATAATGCGCCAAAATTTGAGAAAGCCGTTGCAAGTTTTCGAGTGACTGAAAATGCCCGAAATGGCACAGAAATTTTTAGAGCAAACGCGACGGATGCTGATCTCGGAGAGAACGCTAGAGTAACGTATTCCATGGTCACAGATACAGAGGACTTCTCTGTGGATCCAGTGACTGGTGTTCTTACCGTGACTTCAGGCTTGGATCGTGAAAGACAAGAAGTTTACGAATTGAAGATTCGCGCCACAGACGGCGGTGCGAAATACGGCGACAAACCAGCCCTTTATTCTGATGCACTTGTTCGTGTTACTATTGACGACGAAAACGACAATGCTCCTTCATTCGCCCTACCGTCATACACTGTGAAAGTGCGTGAAGATATCCCTGTAGGGAGTGTTGTTGCTATTGCAAGTGCAACTGACCCAGATGTTGGTCAAGGCGGTGAAGTCCGTTATTCGCTTGTAGGAGGTATAGACGGAGGAGAAGGAATCTTTATTGTTGATCGGTTATCGGGAACAATCCGCACAATGGAGGCCTTGGATTTTGAAGAGCGGCAAGTCCATAGCTTGACGGTTCGCGCCCGTGATCGCGGTAGCCCGTCTCTGTTCTCGGAGACCAACATCATAGTCGAGGTCGTGGACGTAAATGAGAACCTGCACCCGCCGTTGTTTGACGATTTTGTAGTGTCGGCTACTGTTCACGAAAACCAGCCTGTGGGAACGGTGGTGACCACCGTCCGAGCTACTGACGCTGACCCGCGAGGTGATGACTCCAGGGTGTCGTACTCAATTCGGGGCGGGGACGGAATTGGACTCTTCTCCATCGACAATGAAGGTAGGACCCATCATAAGAATAAGTCTGATTTTAATATTCCGGGACCGCATGTATTGTCCCGAAACTAGGCGCATTGTTTCATTACAGTAACATCAAACGAAAATACGACAACGGCAGATCTCTTCTTTGCAGAATTATTGATTTATATAGATGGGCGGTGCCTGTAGGAAGCACAGTAGATGAGAAGAGAAATATTTTAGCCTGAAACCCATAACGGATGAATGATTTCGAAATGTTTTTGCCATATATTATATTGTCATGTATGCTGATAACTAGACAAGTAATTAATGGGTTCTCTGGATTGATGAATCGATTTATTGGCCATTCACCATGCGGATCTACATTTAGTTGTAACACAATCTTATTATAATTAGAACATTTCGTAACTACGAGCAATGCTAACACTCTAAAGGTTACTGTAACTACACATAAAATAAATACTTTTCTTCTGACTTCTGTTTATCTTCTGTCTTCTGTTGTTCAGTTCTCTCCCTGAGGTAGGTTCTGGTCGAACCGAATGGAGATCACCTCCTTCAACAGTATAGTTATCGGGTTCTCCGCGAGTGGTCCATTGTCGTGGATGTCGGCTTTTAATCAGTTAAAGTTACACTGAGCGTATCGAAACCCTAGTAACTGGAGTTGTATAGTTAACTTTGTTACCGTGGAAATGTGTTTACCGAGCCGTTGCCTATCTACGTGTATACATGTTACAGTATATTTGCCACACAAGCCTTCGGCATAACACATGCCCTGTAATTTAGGACCCTTTTTTGAGTGAATATACAAACTCAGCTAATACTATATTGGAATCCGTCAGTTGCAGAAGTGAACTTGTTCAACAATAAATATGGACATGTTCCCTTTTCCACCTAACCGATACATTTGCTTTCGTCACGCAGCCAGTTGGATGGTATTAAACGATGGGCGATCCTCTGAAGCGTCATTTATCGCCCCTGGCGTGTGGAACGTGAACAGAGATCTGTGTAGGATGAGGGCGAAACGGCGCGTCTAGGTTACTTATCATTACTTCCCGGTAATGATTCCGGCGCTCGCTGGACGTCGCGACGCTGTTTATCAGCACCGGTATATAAATGCAACATTGATATGAGAAACTGCTTTTGAAAAATTTTGCGGCGGAAGCGGAAGAACTTCTTTTAAGAGTTAGATAAGCGATACGTCATGGGAGAGTTCTGGGAAGAGGCACAGTGCTGTCTCAATTTTAATGTAAGCTGGCCTGCAATGTAGAAGACGAAACGGATCGATTATTAAACTGACAATTAGGATTCAGTTCCCAAAGCGAGACAGATTTTATGCCCTTTGCCATCAGATCCAAGGTCTCATATCCCACGGGTAACAGAGGCTTTTCCTCGACAGTGAAAAAGCTGACCACTCACTTCCACCAAGTTTCAACCTCAAGAAGCCAACAGCTATATCTCCATGGCATGGAGACACAGCGATGTATTTACATCTACACGTCACTCTTCATAAAATCTAACTGCATGGTGTAGAGTCATTCTTGAGAAGCTGATAGTTACTCACTCAAAAGATTTTTCACCTTATAGGTTTATCCCATATTCACAGTAGCCTGCCAATAGCCCCCTTCCTGAGCCAGAAGCCGCCAATGAACACCATTAACCTTTCTCAGATCTTAAGTATTCCGTTGCCATCAACAGGCAACATGTTACTGGGGAGACCACCCTACTGTACACTTTGTCTTCTGTGCCCTTAGGCACATCGTTCTTTCTGTTGTTAATTTCTTTCATGGGATTTCTATCCTATCTTTTTAGCGGCTGTTTCAGTTTTTTATGTCGTCTTCTTTTGTTGTGTATGCTTTAGTTCTGTTTTCTCCTGTTTCTGTACGATACAACTTAATATAATTTTCGGTTGCATGCCTAAGTATTCAAACTGATCTGTTGTCTTAACGATTTCCGACCAAATATTCTATACGTATTTCTCATTTCTCCCACAGAAAGGAAAAAGAAGGACGGTATTATAAAGATAGACGACTATCTAAATGTAATTTCTATTTACGAATGTTCAATGCGAATAATTAGGTGTAAGTACTCAAGCAGAAGAGAGCATGTACCACATTCATTAGTCTGTGATGCATATAAGATAACAAGATAACATGATAACATGTAAGATCTGAAGCTTCTGGGACTGTCCGCCGTGTCAACTGGTTAAAAATCACCGACATTACAGGAACATCAGAACTTGATGATGGCGCCAGACATTGGTCCTTGAAACGTCGGTAATTTTCAGTCAACTGACACGGCTGATAGTACCAGAAGATTTTATCAAGATAAGAAAATTCAGTGCAGCGAATAAAACTCAGCCGATCACAGTGGACTAATGCAAGAACTGTCTTCGCTCACTCGAACAATAGAATCATGAGTTCGAATCCCACTCAAGGCATGGATGACTGTGTGTGCGTTTATTCTGTGTTTATGTTGTCCTGTGTGTAGGTAGCGGCCTTGTGACGGGCTGATCCTCCGTCCAAGGAATCCTGCCGTCTGTGTAAAAAAAGATTATGATACTGAAGAAAAGACCAGGGCGCAAGAAAGGGCTGTAGAGCCATTGAGAATGAATGAATGAATGAATGAATTGGGTACGTAAGTCGCGTGAGATTCACCCCGGGTGTGTGCTAGTACCTTGGCACCAGCTTTGGGTATTGTATACAGTTTTTTTGCTGACAATGCAATTTGTATGTGCTTGTTACAGTCAGTTAATGCGTGCAGCTATGTAACGTTTTTTTAATTACACAGTTTTTTTCTCACAAGAATCCTCATTCCGCAGTAACTCCGAAATAAACCCATCCCACCCTGAAGTAAAAAATTATTCTTGCAAAGATCCACCCTTTCTATTGCTACATATCGGATTCTCAGTTAATTTTTTTTTCCCTTGGCACTACAGCCCCAGTGGGCCCAGGCCTACCTCCATGAACTTCTCCGTTCACTTCGGTTTTTCTAGATCTTATACATTCGGTAGGACTCCTTGGGCGGGTGATCAGCTCGTCGCAAAGCCTCTACCTGTAGACAAACACCGAAAAACGCACACACACAAACTAAACATCCATGCCCTGAGTGGGATTGAAACCCACGATCTCGGCTTCCGAGCGAGCGAAGACAGTACATGCCTTAGACCGCTCGGCTACCGTGACCGGCTCTCAGTTAATTTACCCACCAAAATTCTGTATAAATATCTTGTCTTGCCGAATGGGCATACGCATCGGTAAAGCTCTGCACCCTTATTCCGTAGATGTTGGGTTCAAATCTCGTCCGGGACAATGGATATTCAGAGATTTTTTTAGTTTACTTCAGCCGGTCCCAGGAAATTCTGGGATAGTATTTAGATCGAGGTACAATCTTCCACTTGTTTCTAATCCACTATTAATTTGTTACCCTAACATTCGAAATTTAGTCTAGCTACATACAGCGTCATTAAACAGCCCCCAGACCAATCCAATCCACTTTTGTCGCCTCCAACCGATCTGTATTTTTGGAGGACTTTCCCTGTCCTCAGATCTGGGTAACGTGTTTAATCGAAAACTTTCTGTTTACGTAATAACAGACATCTTGCAGCAGTTTTTTTCCTTTTCGTTTTTATGTAATGAGTTCCCTTCTCCACATTTTCCCGTAAATATATATGTAAGAAGAGTTGTGATGGCTGTGATTTTGCATCTTGTCCACTGAATAATGTATCAGGAATTTTGCATCCTCATTTTCATATTTCGCCCTCAAAACTGGCGCTCACTGTAGCCAGAACTCATCTCTGCAGTTACCTCGCTCCTTGTTATGACGATGTTCTGTGCCAAATCACCAATGTTAACACAGTTTTTACATGCGGCATCATCCCTAACCCATATGAATGGCAACAGAAGTTGCCGTTCTGTCACTCATAACAAAGACCGTATGTTCGCGTACTCATAGACTCGTTGCTACGCAGCGACCGCGGAATAAGCGAATATACGGCAGCCGTTACTGAGTAACAGCTTCACAAAGATGTTCCCAAAGCAACAATTGAACTACAACAATGAGGCTGTGTTTTCTGTGCGGTCTGTGCCGAAATTCCAATAATCAGAACAAGCCTAGAGTTTAGTTAGCTGTGAGACAGTCGACGGCCTTTAATGACGTGAACACGAAAGCTGAGGGAGCTACGGTGTTGGAAGCCGTTACCAGACAACGACTGGTGAAGACAGAGCAGGCTAAGAAGGCTTAATGCGAGATGTAATGGACTGCTGAGTGTCAGAATTTGTGACAGCGCTATAGTTACTTGTAGTTACGATCTGTAAATGATCAGTAAATGTAATTACAAATACGTACCCCGTCTATAGTCACTCTGTCACGTGAAAAAGAGTAGAGATACAGACGATTGTTGTGTACTAATTCGTACTACGGGTTAGCAGTACCATAAAAAATTTTATTATCTGTATATGGCTTATTTTCTGTTGTGGTATATAAAGGTTTAAAAGGAAATTGATCTGTATTGACATTGCTTCCTTTTATTGCAATGGTACCATTGTATATTCCTGTACCAGAACATAGACGAATATTTACGTGTTTCCATATATAACATAGAGTTTTGGATTATTATATCGTAAGTTCGCGAAGTAATCGTTTATTGCAGTTTAGAGCTCCTGCTATGTGAAATAAATTTTGTTTTCCCACGTTTTGCCAAGAAAATACCGGATAGAAGATATTCACAATGGAATAAATCATTGAATTGTGGTAGTTAAATCTCTTATAAATATTTTTGCGTCCCTTTAGTGTTCTTGAACTCTTTCTAGAATCTCTTCAGGTTCACCGTCGCATGAAATTGTTTCATGGGCTAGTGATTTCGTCAAGATTGAATTGAGCTAGTCATATTTGTTTACCAATCATTATTAACCTGAAAGGTTCGTGTATTTTACCTGCCTTGACAAGCTTTGAGTGGAGCCGATCACGGTGGCCGTCTAAGGCATGAACCGTCTTCGTCCGCTTGAACACTGCGATCGTGGGTTC